TAAGGGAATGAATTGGGTTAATTTTTATGGATTGGGTTGGGTTGGGTTAGGTAAAATTGAGTTAAATTTAATTTTGATTGAATTGAGTTTGAGTTTGTGTTTAGGTTTGGATTTGGGTTTGAGTTTGAAAGATGAATTAAATTTAAAATAAAATTAATTTATATTTATTTTAAATTTTGCGGGGATGAGGATTCCCGCGAAGCCCCACGGGGAGGGGAAAATTCCCCGAAAAATTTTGCAAGGGAAAAATGCTCCCCATCCCTGCCCCGTCCCCGTGACAGGGATCCCCACGGGGCCCCGCGAGAATCGGGGGAAATTGCCATCCCTAATAGCAAACATGATAAATGGTTTATGGTTCCTTTTTTTGTAAAAAATCAGTTAGCTCAAATCCCCTTTAATGCATTTTATCACCTTTAAATCTAAATGATCTTGAACTAAGTGGCTGTCACATTCAATAGGTTCGACCACCTACACGGTTTTAAGCCCCTAATTAATTAGACTGGATTTGTGATCAATTATCAGTCCATTAATTGAAAAAAATTTAATAGCTACTAGGTATTACCATTTCCATTTGACTTTAGCAATTTTATTTTGAAAATTTGACATTTTAAACATGAATTTCAGTTAAAATTTTAATGTATTAATTAACAATAATAAAATTTTTTTATCAAATAAAAATATTCAATAAAAATTATATATAAAAAATTTATATCTTAAAATAAAAAAATAAACTAAAATGACTAAAATTGAATAGATGAGTATATAAATTATAAATCTATAAAATCTCGTATACACAGTCGAATGGCAGCAATGGTAAATGGCTCCTTTTCGTGGAAGAGGTTAGGATTTAAAAGTCCATTTTTGCTGCGTTTTATCACTTTTAAATTTAAAAAATCTTAAAACCGAATGGTTGTTTGGTTCAATCACTTAAATGGTTTAAGACACCCAATTAGAATGGATTTGTGATCGATTGTGGTTCAGACTGATTCAAGCAGCCAGTCCGCATGAAAAGCTCATGAGCCTGCAAGGCATGATATAGGCATGTATTGGATGAAATGAAAGTTTAGTAGATTACAAGTGAATGGCTTAATTTAATAATTGGTCTATTAATTATTAG